GTAATATTTAAATTACTATTTTTTTCGTAATTCCCGAGTAATACCGCTAATTGACGGCGCCTCCGCCGCCGCCACACAAGATGGCGACCGCCGCCATCTTGGACTACCTAGCCACACATTAACCACGAGACTTTTACAACATCGTAAGCTTACAATGTGTTTTGTGAATACGAGACTTTTTGCATTTGGTAATTTACGATGAATTTCGTCGTAAGTTAATACGAGGTATTTGTGAGGGCACAAGTTACAACGATTTCGTATTTTTTTTTTCTTTGCACTCTTTCCGCTCTATGGGCACTAAGAGAGTTCACAAGCCCATTATGGTTTTGGCCCATACTGGGGAGGCCGGGTGATGAGGGACAGGGCCGACATCCGGATGGACCACCCCGAAAAATTTCTGGGGATTTACAAGATCACCCACAGGGTTGTTAACAATATTTGATTCTCTTCACTTTTTTACAGGAACTCAATGAATTTTAACGTTTCCAAGTGTATTCTATCACATAATTTTACTTTACGTATTAGTTTCCATTCTTACATTATTATTAGTGAATTTGGGAGAAACTAGCTCAAAAATTTTAAATATTTGAATAAATAGGATCTTCTATTAATTAATTAACATGTGTACGATGGTTCGATAAACCACATTTGCTATCGTGTTTTTAAAACAATGTTTAAAGTTCAAACAAAATAAATTTTCAAATGCTACACAAGGGGCTTAAGCTACACAGCTTGAGCTCTTTGGATCTGCCCCTGTACATTATCAATTGTATTGTTTTATCAAATAATCAGAAAATACAATATTTATATTTATCAGTTACATTACTTTCATTTATTCCCAGAAAGTCTTGCTGAAGAGATGTGAACATCCTTGCTCCAAAATTTCCGATTGCTTTCCGAGATGTACGGTATAAAAAACAAACAAAATACACTGTCACCTTATAGTCAGGTCACAAGACCCCCAAAATGTGATCACTAATTGCTTGTTGTCTTGTTCACTCAAGATGAGGACTTACTATAACAAAAAAGTTGCGGCCAACTGTCAATTTTTAAAGTAATGTAGGAAAAATACACTCAATAAAACACTTTCAAAGACATTTCATACTAATAAATGTTAACAAATTTATGGAATAACGCTACACACCGATGTCCGAAAGTAAAGCAACAAACACAGTCTTACATGTTTGTTCATATATATTTTATACATTTTTAATATGAATTGCTTCTCGTATATGTCCAATAAAACCTGTTCATTATGAATATGCAAGAAATCTTTTGACTGTATTAGAAAACTGCCCAATAGATTTCACCAAACCTCCACATAAGGCAGTGTTTTTCAACCGGGTGCCGCGGCGCCATGATTGGGGTGTCGCAAAGTTTAGAGCCTTTAGGCATTTTCTTGGAAATTTACTTAAGTGTAGTTCAAGATAACTCATTGTCAGTTCTATTTTGCTACGAAATATCTAGTAAGCAAAGAAACTATGACTAATCGCATGCTAATGTAATGTTCTACGCTACGTGTACGCATGACTTGTCACGAGTTCGCCCAAACCACATTGCTTGGCCTTCATGTTCCCAGTCCCAGGCCAACACCAGAGAAGAACAACGTGGACACTCGTGTCTTGTATATGCTTTAAAAAGCGTTGCATTGTACTTTGAAAAGCGTGTGGTTTCAATCTCAAAGTAGGTGCATATTATAGTATTTTCATAGTATTCAAAAGCAATGATGACAAATAAACAAGTTTTTATCATTTTTTTAATTTAAATTGATATGAAAAAGAAAAAAATAAAGAAATATTTATTTTATATATGCATCAAAATAGTATAAAAAAAAAGTAACAAAAATTCTTTATCAATAAAATGATAATATAAAATGATGATATATTTGATAATAAAACTATATTTAAAAAACAATAGCGAGACTATTATTTTACATGTAGGTATTTCGACGAAATTCAATGGACTTAAATTTTGATTTTGAACACGTAGAAACACTTTTGCGTTGCGCGTAATATTTGCAAAAATTCATCTGGCCCATTAGTCCCCCCCCTTTATTCAAATTCTAGATCCGCTGCTGGTCAAGTGTGTCACGTATTTTTCAATTAGGTGTGCCACTCAATGAAAAAAGTTGAAAAACACTGACATAAGGTATAGGAGAAATATTTTAAACTTTTTTTGTGGTAAGCACTCTAGAGCAGTGTTCTCAATCACTTGTCCTCAGAAAAATATTTGGTTTAGTCAATCAGATTACAATGTAAATGTCACCGTACTTACATACAAAAAATTATCCATAATTTCACTCGTCTGTGATAAGAAAAAGATTGAGAAACTGGTCCAAAGATGAGCAACAATGATTTTTCTCAATTAGTCCTTGTATGAAGATATCAATTTATTGCCCTATTTGTGTGTGTACAAATGTGTAAAGTGGTTGCAAGATTGCTTTGTTTTATTTGTATTAGTTCTGGTGTGGGATAACTAATTAATTGTAATTTATCATCCTCTCTCAATCTTTATTTCTCTGGTTATCTCCTAATGATCATCATATAGTGAAAAAATCAAGAGTTTTTTGAAGTCTTTACTGAAACAAACAAGAAAACAAAACAAAAAAAAATTAAATTCCTCAAATGTATATCCAATTTAAATAAGTGTAGGATTACAAATCCTATGCTTATTTAAATTGTAGTATGGATATGTTTTGTCTGTAGTTATCTTACAATCAATGTTCTTAAATTTAAAAGATTGAATAGTGATTTATAAAATAGATTTTCATTGATATTACTACGTGACAGTATTAGAATTATTTAGTGTAAATCACAAAATTTATATGTAATTGATGACTACAAATAAATGGCATGTGCATAATGCCATGCATTATACACACATTTTAGATGGCCATAACTAGATCATAAAGGGATTAAATAAAAGAGCATTGTGCAGATATCACTAGGGTGAATATATCCATGGTTTTTAGTCCATGAAGTGCCTAGTAAAAAAGTCAATGCTCTATGGAGTAAGGCTTATACTATATATTTGAATGTTTAGATGCAAAGGAAAATTCAGAATAGCAGAGTCACTATAGATGAGGGACTTGAATAGAGAGTTATTAAAGCAGGGATCGCCAAAGTGGTCGATATGGACCCCCAGGGGTCGATGCAGCTAAGGGGTCACAACCTTTTTTTTTTTTCTTTGCTTAGACAGAAACCACAACCCACAACGTTTTTTTTTTTTATTTTTTCGCTCATACATACAGTATACACTTCTAATAAAACTTTACGGTGGGGGTCAATGTGAGGCTTGGAAAGTGATTGGAGGTCGACAGTTATAAAAGTTTGGCAACCCCTGTATTAAAGTCTTTGATGGTAATTACTATTTCTGGGTAGTAAACAATTATCCAAACAGAATGAAAAATGCTGTTCCTAGTAATAGGAAGGACTTTAAAACTTAATTTTATATTAACTGTATTTAGTTTGTTAATACTAAATACAGTTAAGTTAAATTTATTCCAGGTCTCCAGAACAGTAGGCCATCTGAAAAAGATGACCTACTGTTCTGGGGACCTGATGGTTAAGACATCAATAAGATAGGAAGTTAATAAGATGTTATTAATTTCCTATCCTAGTTTTGATTAAAAATTAGAATAGAATATTGTTTTAATAAAAAAACTAAATTACAATACTAAATACTGTAATTCATTTGTAATTTTAAAAATAAAAACAAACTGCTTCCATCAAAATCCAAGCAAATTATTTTAAAATTTGTAAAGTTCTACATGTATTCAGCTCCTGGATTCAATTTGGCAGCTAAATCAGACTTATATCCAGTATTTTTAATCATTGTTCTACCAACTCTAACTGATGTCAACAAATGAGCATTGAGTCTTTAAGCCATTTTAGCTCAAAATGTATGTTTGGAATAATATATGAAAACAAAACAAATAAATAAACATATCCAAAGAATATAAAACAGTGCAATGACTGGGAGAAAATTTGGCTTTTGCCATTTGATTTGAGACTTCTTGTGAGAACTATTGTTAACATGGGAAATAATGGCATTAATAACATTGTGTACATATAATTCTATATGTTGAAAAAAAAAAAAGATTTCATTGTTAGTCCCAATTTTAACTATTTTTCTGTATAATTTATCAATAATAAGTAAAATACTGTATTCCTTCCTCTACTTTGTAGATTTGTGATTTCTTTTATAACTGGGTGCTCTTCTTGCTTCCAAGTTTCCTTTTAATCCATACTTGGATCTACTATCAATCTCTGTGTGGTTAGACAACAGTACACAATAATTTATGACATGTAATAGGAATACCATCTTGTCTTTCACTACTTAATTTTAGTGATCTGATTAGAACCAGTGTATTCAGTGAAGACTAGCCATTATTGTGTTCCTGAGTAATATTATATGTTTAATGTAAAAATTAACATATAATTTCATTAAGAATTTATAAATATCAAAACATGTCGTGATTTATAACCAGTGGTGCCCAAACTTTTCGATTGGTGGGCCAAATTACATATAAGTTGTACAGTACATAGATAGGTCACAAATCATTTTGTTCATTCTATATTCTATATAATATATATAAAGTATGCCTATTTCTATCAATCACTTACAAGAGGCAATTCAAGTATTACATCAAGAAATAACTTCTTAATCGCCCTTTCATCACCACCAGTCATTGGAAATGAAGGTACAGTACCTACTACCTCTTAATTATGTGATGACTGGGAGAAAAATAAATGCTCGGTGCAATCTTTCATTTTCAAAGATTTGTTCTCCCTCCCTTGTCAACAGCAATCATCAGATAAAAACAAATCCCTTTTTCTCTAATACTTGAAAAGTCTGTAAGTGATGTCTCAAATATGTTTTTAGGCTGGATTAATATGTTTTTAGGCTGGATTAATATGTGACAAGGGCTAGATTTGGCCCAGGACCATACTAGTTTGGGCACCATTGATTTATACTAACTTAATATTTTAAAGACACCATTGTTTTGACAGGAAAGTTTATTAAACAGATTAAGGACACAGTACAGGTGGCTTTTGTGAAATTCATCCTAATTCAATGGCACCAAATTTTAGCAAAAGCATTTATAAATTGCAATTGTGCACAGAGATATGTTTTCTACGTTACAAAGACATTCAGTATGGTACGAAACTACACACTGGAAACACCTATGATAGTTTGTTCACATGAAGAACACTACATGACAATAATATAAAATTTATGAAGTTGCAGATTGGCATACATGAGCATTTACACAAAAGATGTAAGTCTTTAATAAAATAAAACATCACAACAATCGATAAATTTAAGTAGGAAATAAAAAAAATCGTGAAGACAACCTCAATGTAATCACAGGATGAACGTTTTTGGTTTTTTTTCCTTCTCATTTTGTACCACAGACTAGAATACTTCTGCCTGCCAGATTTACAAAAAGATCTAGGCATTTGACAGAAAACAGAATATCTTAACTTGAGCAAATATGTAAAAATTTAATAATTGTGCAAAATATTAAATGCAATTTTTTTTTATCTTTAGCTATAATAATGTTATACTATCGTGAAGGAGATCCTTCGGCAGAAAAGAGACTGTGTATAGAATAGAGCAAAGATGTTTTGACATTGGAATGATTAGTGTATATAAAGTGGAATAGGAAAAAATAGTTCCTCAGAATTCAAAATGCTCTATGAATTAATACTGTCCAAATGTGATGAGCATGAGGTTAATATACGGCATAATTTAATGTAAAATGAAGGTATTGTGTCGTTAAATAAAATGGATAAATTTGTTCATTTGTAGACAACATAATGATTTTTTTATCCCCCAAATTTGCAAATATAATATAAAAAACTTTGGTAGCAAAATACAATGTTTGTTAAAATTCATAGAAATATTAATATTTCTTCTTTTAAAAATCGCTTTCAAAAATCCTACAACTTAAAAGTTTCACTAATAAATATATATATGAAGTGCCACTAATCATTTACCTAGTTAAAAAAAAAAAATGCAAAAATTCTTATTATGCCAGGTGATAAAATGAAAAGTTTACTTATGAGTAGTAGACTTGGTGACATCAGGAGTCAGTGATACCTGACTAACTCATCACATCCACCGGTTCCCAAGTGTAGTGCTATCTCATTTTTGTTACTTCAAGTAAGTGTTGTATAACTGGAAATACCTTGCATTACAGAATAGAATTTACATAGTTAAAGTTATGTAAAGAAGAAAAGTTATCAAAAATTGTAGGCACAGATGACTCAGGTTATTTTTCATAAGCCACAGCCTTTAAGGTTCATGTTTACAAATTTTAAATAAGAGGCAGTCCATGGGATCTGTGCGTAACAAATTAAACATTGTAGCTTTGACTCACTGAAGAGTTACATGTGTAATTTGTATCAGCAATACTAAAATACAAATTTATCATTGATACGTAACAAAAAGAGTTACAATTAAAAAGTATCTGACAAGAGTTCAAGTCATTTGGGTTCACTTAGAAGCAGATCTCAAAGTGTTTAAGGCATTTATCTCAAGATTATCTCAAGAATCTGTTCATATAACTACGAAAATCAAATTTAAATCTTATAATAGGGAGTATTTTTATTTATTGAGTTTCAAAATGTCATCTCAGAAGTCTATAGTAAATAATTAAATATTTCTCTCGACATGCAGCAGGACAGCAATTGCATCCAGCTCATGGAATTATCAAGTCTACTCCTCACATGTAAACTTTTCATTTGATCACCCAGTATATATATATAAATATATATATAACTTGATTTTAAAAAATTGTTTGGAAAGCAATTTGCAACTGCAACAAAACAAGGCACAATGTCAAGATTTAGCACCCGACAGACAAATCGGTGATAAAAAAAGCACCTGGAGCAGCTTCATGTTGTCTGAGGGCAGTAGTATCGATCTGCACATTGGAAAACATTTACTTGCATTCAACAGCTTCTATTTCTACTTTCTCATTTGTGTCAAGCTTTTCAGGTTTATCTTCTGGTTCCAATTCCTTTGGTTTCTCCTCTTCATTCTTTTCCTTTTCAGCTTCTTTTTCATCTGATTCTTCCTTCTTTTCTCCCTCTTCCTTGTTCTCTGTTTCTTGCTGACCCTCTTCTTGTTGTCCTAAAAAAAAGGCATTAAATAAACATTAGAAATATTTTTAAAAAATAATAAATCATAACTTCATCACACATGTATGTACATTTTGATATTTTGTAAATACAGTAGACCCCCTATAATGCAGGTTCCTATAACGTGGCGAAAAAATTGCGACAGTATTCGTATAAAGACGCTAAAAGGGACTCGTAAAACGTCATCGCCGACTCGTGTCGCGACAGGATTAGTCGAATCTGGACCAATAGTGGACGAGCAGCCGAACTACTTTCCGCCATCCAGCGCCACGCTACGGAGAGTTTAGGCGGGTAAGTTGAGTTTACTATCGTCTGTACAGTATGTAAATTAGGTACTGTAAGTCTAATACAGCACTAATTTTATACATTTCTTGTGAAAGAAAACATTTCTTATTCAATGGCCATAAAAATTATTTATATTAATGATGTCTCCAAAGTTCAATGAATTTTTTGCAGAAAAATAACTTATCAGAAATCGTGGCCGCCGTTTGGTGCGCTGCTCCGCGATGAAAACAAGTTTGAGCAATGGCAACGTCGAACAGTGCACGCTCGGTAAGTAATCCTATAAATTTTTGTCTGTACAGTATGTAAATTAGGTACTGTAAGTCTAATACAGCACTAATTTTATACATTTCTTGTGAAAGAAAACATTTCTTATTCAATGGCCATAAAAATTATTTATATTAATGATGTCTCCAAAGTTCAATGAATTTTTTGCAGAAAAATAACTTATCAGAAATCGTGGCCGCCGTTTGGTGCGCTGCTCCGCGATGAAAACAAGTTTGAGCAATGGCAACGTCGAACAGTGCACGCTCGGTAAGTAATCCTATAAATTTTTGTTTATAGCATAGTTTATATGGATTATTCCCAAAAAATTATACGTATTTTGGAAATATTGAGTCGAATTAGTCTAGAATCGATTAATTTTATGGAAGTAAACCTTTCAAACAGCCGTAGTCCATAAACTTCACACGTGTCGGGCTGTGACTGGCTCATTATTTAAGGATTCCTACAACATGAAATTCTTATAACATNCCCCCCTATAAGATCATAGATACGTTCCATTCTTTAGGAATCCGATTTCTTACGAGTCCTTCCAATCACAGCCCGACACGTGAGAAGTTTACGGACTACGGCTGATTGAAAGGTTTTCTTCCATAAAATTAATCGATTCTAGACTAATCCGACTCAACATTTCCAAAATACATATATTTTTTTGGGAATAATCCATATAAACTATGCTATAAACAAAAATTTATAGGATTACTTACCGAGCGTGCACTGTTCGACGTTGCCATTGCTCAAACTTGTTTTTGTTGCGGAACAGCTCAGCAAACCGTGGCTGATTTCTAATAACTTATTTTTCTGCGAAAAATTTGCTGAACTTTGGAGACATTATTAATATAAATAATTTTAATCGCCGTTGAATAAGAAATGTTCTTTCACAAGAAATGTATAAAATTACAATACTGTATTAGACTTACGGTACCTAATTTACATACTGTACAGACGATAGTTAGCCTAAACTCTCCGTAGCGTGGCGCTACATGGAGGAAAATATATATTATTATAATAAAGTTACAATAAATTAAGTTAATATATAATTATATATACAGTACCTAATTTATATATAATACTGTACAGACGATAATCTCTCCGTAGTGTGGCACTTGACGGCGGAAAATAGTTCAGCTGCCCGATGACGTTTTACGTAATTATACGAGTTTTTTTTACCGTTTTTTTACAGATACCATCGCAATTTTTTCGCAGTTTTTATATCGTAATCATAATTGTAATTATAGGAACCCGTTTTATAGGGGGTCTACTGTAATTATCAAAATTAGACTATATTTAGACTTGACTATTGATTCAGATTTTGGTTGTATTCTAAGTTTAGTAGTAGTAATTTTTCTTTCCCAAACTTATTTAGAAAAACTTATAACTTAGATTACTATTAATCAATTTGTTATAATAATTGCTATTTAAATTCTTATACATTTCACAAAATATTGTATGAAACCGTTATTTATTTCTATATATGCAATAAAGTAGTAATCCACCTAATCATATAACAGGCCATTACCGAAATTAATTGCTAAAAATTTCTTACTAAATTAACAAAAATATAACAAATTTAATTTACCTTCTGTTTGAGGTTGAGTTTTTTCTTTTTTAGATTTCTTTGATTTCTTAACTAATCCACTATCCAACAAACTATAAGCTGTATCAATAATGGTTTGGTTCAGTTCTCTTGGTGTAATTTCCAACACTTCTTTCATCTATAAGAATGGTCAGGTTATTGTGTTAATTGTAATGCACATGACTTTGTAATAAGTAATTACACTTATAAAAATTTTTTAAAATATATGTATAAATTACATACATCAGTATAGAATATATATATCAGTAGATATACATGTTCTTTGTTATATACAGTAGAATACATTTATTGTAATAATTTTGGGACTTGCTTATAACTGACATAATATTTAGTGAAACAAGTAAACAAGTGTACAATTAACAATTCTTTTTTTAATGGACATTAAAAAGACATGTTAAACAATTAAAACATGCATAACTTATAATTAGTAAATATTTAATTGTAATTCATCCAGCACTTAAAACTACAAATAAAATACTGCATTAACTAAATGTTCACTACATACAGTAGACCCTCCCCTATAACACTGTTGATAATTCTGTTTTATATGAATTCCATGTTGTACAAGTCACTTAGATTTTACAAATACGTGAGCCGTTCACAGCCTGGCACACGTATTTGTAAAATCTAAGTGACTCGTACAACATGGAATTCATATAATACGGAATTCATATACAACATGGAATTCATATAATACGGAATTATCAACAGTGTTATAGCGGGTCGACTGAAATTAAGTCAAAAATCACCTTAATTCAGTAACACCAATTTATTAATAGAACAAACATTTTTCAACCTTGTTTAAAGGTCACCCTCAAGTTACAAAAATGAAATAACTTTAAAAAAATCAAACAATTTAAATTTAAAATATATCAAATCAAATTTAAAGTGTACAAAATGTTGCATGCATAAAGATAAAACAAAAAAAAATTTATTTAATTACTTTAAACTATTTTATTGTGAGAAAATAAATGTTTAATGCTTAAAACAATGGTAAAGACTGATGAGGACTGAACTGATAATGATCGCATGTTATCAACCGTATAGTAATATGGTAGAGCATCAATTATCTGAAACAATTTGGGACTGGGGTTGTTTGGATAACTGATCATTTATGAAAAAATATATTAAACACAAAACTGTACTGTATATATTTTGTATCACACATCTTACATAAAGTAGTACATTAAAGTAGGCCTACAATTTAGGTTGCCAGGGAGGGAGAGAGTGCTGCAGCGCTACAGCATTAGCAGAAATTTGAATTTGCCGACTGGAATGCTTTTGGTTAACCGATGTTTTGGTTGATCGGTATTCAGATAATCGATGCTCTACTGTAAATAAAAACCTATTTACCTGATTATGACACTATATTCATACCTTGATTACAATAAGCAATTTTGTAAATATATTTTAAATTATATGTTTTGAGACCATATCCATGATTATAATAACCAAATTCCACTGTATATATAAAAGGCACTGAACACACACACACTTTTCTAGCAATTAACTTTAATTAAAACAAACGTTTTTAGCCTGAACTTATGTTCCAAAAGTAGAATCTCTATTTAAAAACCTGACAAAGGATTATTAAACAGGCCAAAAAGATTTATTTTTAAAGTTAATTGCTGGAAAAGTGTGTTCAGTGACTTTATGTACTGTAGTAGTTCCAGCTTTGAGTATCTACCGTATATAATAAGTTAAATTTGATTTGGCAGCAACATGGCCAATGCTGCAGAAACATCAGTCTGCTGCTACATGAAGATTTCATCAATCAACCTCAAATGTTCATGTATGGTTTGACTCAGACATAGAAAAAGGCCATGATGATCATTGAGTGGAAGGAAGTTTAAAAAGTTAAAATATATAAAAACTAATTTAAAATTCCAATGAAGTTATTAAATACTTACTCTCTTATTGTCAAATTTAAATTCTCTACCCACACGAGGCAATAGCCAACGTACACTCTTGTCAAAAAAACTGTTTAACCATAGAGCAATGTATGGTGCCATCATTGTTGGAATACAATAGCCTAAAAAAATTTTAATACAAGACAAAATTTTAATATAAAAATTTTTATAAGATTCAATAAATTTAAAATTAATGTAAATCTACAATTAAATTATTTTTGTGTTCTTTCACATAAGAAAAAAGTTGAGAAAAATTGAATTTATGAAAACATAATAGTAAGTAAAAATATGCCAACATTGCAGAAATCTGATAATGGGACAGAGGAAAAAGGTTCAATCCAATAAAATTTTGGCTCCTACAATCAGTTTAACATTGGTATATTTTTACTTTTGTTTCTACAAAGTCAGCATATTCTGAAGCTAAACAAATTTCACTATTCTTTGTGCTCTTGTGAGCCTCAATTTTCAATTTTTGTGATTAAAATTTAAGTTGCAAATACATGTGATTAAAATTTCAACTTTTAGTTTCAATATGACATGAATATCAATAATTTAATGCCATAATAAAAAGCAAATTTTTTAGTATATTAATTAATTTATGTACACATTAATTTGTATATACAAATAGTATTAACACTAGGAATGCCAGAATTTGTTTATACCAAGAACTGCTGATACAGGACATTTTGACATGTAGTAGAAAAATTATAATTGAAGTGTCTGATGTATTTATTTTGATATGTATTTTTATTATACATATTTCTGAATATATTCTTTTGCTATCAAAATTCATAAATGACCAAAAATTAATTTTTTCTGTCTGTATTTTTTTACTGCGCATCAAAACAAATTATCTGAATCTCTGCTTTGCATTTTCCATAAACAGGAACTTTGCAAGAATTACAGAATTGCATTGTGCAATTGTCATTATTTTGGCAGTAGATCATCCCCTTACAATTTCTACTTTTCTTCTAGTAAAAAAAGCTGAATTTTCAGACTTTTCAAAATTTGGAATGGTTGGAATGGGCTTTTTATATATATCATTTATAAAAATTCCAGCATATGGTAGATTTAGTTTGGTTGGTTTTTTTCTCTAGATACTATTGATGCTGTTCTTCTGATAGCTTTTGAAGATATTTGTACCTGAGAATGTGTTTTTGAATTAACTCTTTGTTATATAATACAGGGGTGGGCAAGCAAGAGTTCAGTGGGAGTCGAAATGTAGGGTTTTGCAAAATGCACAGGAGCTGCAGTTCTGTATTTTTTTATTCTGTACCACAGTTCTGTACTGCATGTAACTCAAAAAGAGCCACATTTGTCTATGTCTGTTATAATATATGCGATTTGATAGTCATTAAATCCAGAATGACATAAAACACTGTCACAGGCCAACATCTTGACGAGCTTCACATACTATAAAAATTTTGCCATCTGGTTGAGCATGTTGACACCAGCTTTGTCTTGATTATCATAGCTTATAGTTTCTGGTTACCTCTTTTTGTCTTGTTCTTCTCTCAAAAGTCATGAAGTGAACTCATGACAATTACATTTTTATCCTTCTTTGATTTATAAATTGTTAACATTGTGTTATCTTCATTGTTCAGTATGACTGTGCTCAGAATCGGTTCTTTATCCATGATAGTTTTCACATTAGAAATCTCATGCCAATTGTATCGCAATGCAATACAATTGGCATGAGCTTTCCCAGCATGCTGAATTTCACTGAATATGCCATAATTTAGTAATGAAAGAGATGTAACAAAATTGTCACACTTAGGTGTTGATACCTGAATACATATTATCACGAAACTTGTCAACAATTGATATTTCACCAATGATATTTCTCCCGAGCGTGATACATCTTTACCAAGGTAAGGAAAACCATTTACAAAATATATTTCCCACCAGCCAGAATGCAGAACTTGATGTCCAATTTGTCAAGCTTATTTGGCATATATTGAATAAAAATACAACATGATTTGCATCGGAACAGGTTTTCATTAATAATAGCTCACTTGGATTGAAGCATTTCATGTAACATGTACTGACAAAAAAGATGCAATCACTTAAGCATAAAAAATTTTTGGGTATTTTTCTTATATGTATACACACAGAATCATACATATACATAACAAATAATGTCAAGAATATTCTCATTATTGAAAAACATGATTTTAAAAATATATCAGTAAAATGTTTCATCAGACATCAATAAATAATTGTATTGAATAGGGAAAAAAATTTATTAATTTTTCAAAAATGTTATCCCATTGTAAGATAATTATTTTTTGGTAAATTTGTGAAATTCCAAAGAAAAAACTTTGAAATTTCAAAAGATAAGAAACATTCAATAAGATATACAGGTCATTTCAACCTGTATAACAGTCCTAGTGTTAACTGAATAATTCTTCATGTAGTCTTGTGATTACAATTAATAAGGTGACCAATCATCCTCCTTTAAGGAGGACAGTCCTTCTTTTGTAAGTTCTGTCCTCCCTCAGAAAGTGTCCTCCTTTTCAATATTTGAAGACTAATCTGTAAATCTCCATATACAATTGATGCCAAGCCAATCCATTGCGTGTAATGTGTTTATTTGACATGACGATTCATCAAGGCTCAGTACAGTGTGGTGAGACATGATTATGAGATGCATGCGGTCTGCATGGGAAACCCCGAGAGCGTGCACTGCACTGCAAGTGGCTTTGTTTACTTCTTACCAAAACACAACATGGCACATATGCACGCAGTAGAGATTATTATAGTGTGTTATTGTTGCAATGAATAAAATGCTTCTTTTATTTATGATATTTTTTCCTTCAATTTGTGTCCTCCTTTTCATTGTAAAAAAGTTGGTCACTTACAATTAACAAAAACTTAACATAAATTTTATTGACTCATTATGAAATATGATTTAAAAATAAGAAAATAATATATACAAGCTCTCCCCTCCATTCTCTGCACAAGTTTTAATTTCTCCTTTGTTTTTCTAGATATAATTTTCTATATTAATCATAACACAATTATAAAATGCCTTAATTTTATAATATAGTTTAAATTAAGTATTGGAGTTTCATAGTTACTGTATTGCAAGTTAATGTTGATAGCTATCTCTAAGTCTTTGGCTTTTAAATAAAGTAGGATTGAGATATTTCCTCTTTTGTAGTGCTGCAAAAACCAAATTGTTTGGCTGTTAATTCTGAACTTTAAAAATTTACATCATATTGAATTCAAGCCAATCCATCAGCCACTGAATTTGTTGTAATATTATCTAAATGGAAGACTTGGGATACAGTCTCATATAAGGGACTGTAATTATTATGTAGTTGAAAGTTTTGAAACTGATATCTAAGAAACTATATACATTTTTAAATGTATCAATGATAATGAAAAAGTTCATAGTATTAATACAGATATATAGAATATCTTTTTATTTAGAACAAAATTATCTAGTAAAAGATAATTTATAATTATTTATGATATAATATAATAAGCGTTGGCTTGAAGTGACATTGTAATGAACTCGTCCGACTTTAGAAAACGAGTTCATTTTCTAAAGTCGGACGAGTTCATTCTCCAAGACTCCACTTCTGTAATGCCACAACACGTAAGTGTTATAATCATATTATAATTATTTAAAAATGAAGTTTGACTTCAGAGAATTAAAATATTACTATGTACTCTATTATAACTATTAACTCAGAATGGTGTAGTAATTGAATTCTGTTTTCTTTTATCTTAATGTTTTTCCAGAAATTTATCTTTCTTTTTATGTATGTACTTTCTTACAAACTCATTCCATCGTATTTTATAGAAAAATTATTTAAAACTTAAACCACCATAAAAAAATTTCTATGAAAGTGTTGGTTTGGGTAGTATCAGTCCAAAAATAAGTTAAAGCAATCATAGCACTCTCTCACCTCTGCATCAACAGAGAAGTGCACAAAAAGAAGTATTAAGACAGGCTTACGCCATTCCTCAAGAAAAACCACTAAGATGGCCTGTATGTTTTCTGGCCTGATATCATAGTTGCACATTATGGAAAAGATACAATTTATGTGCTAGAGGAATATAGAGTATTAAGTCAACAAAGAGAACAGTGTTTCAAATGTTTCTCAGCTGCATTCAGTTCAACAATTATGATACCAGATGAAACAGAAGATGTACAAAAACAAAGTAACACTGAAACAACAATGTGGTGGCCAGTGTCAAGACTAAAATCAGAAGAGCCATATACTGCAGACCAGATTCCATAATTTAGAGACAAAATAAACTAATTTTGTCAATTTTGTATCCCTAGATATTATTGTAAAAATAAAGTTTGATTTTTGTGCAGATTTTTTGTTTACAAATCCTTAAATTCTTTACACAAAAGTTATGAATTAATGTGAATTTTTACAAGAATATTTAATTTTCCAAAGAATCATTCAATTACATTTTAAAAGCTGTATGATATAAATAATAAACAAGAACTAACCATGAGATTTGAATTCTTTGGCTAATACCAGAGCAATGTCTTTCATCCAAACTGTTTGTGTGCTTATAATATGACGATGATCTGCTGCTTCTGGCAATGTCATAGCTTTTAAATGGCCCTGGGCAACATCTCTAACATCACAGACACACATATTAAGCTTAGGTACCATAGGAATGGAACGTTCCATCAACCGCTTTACTATCTGTAATATTTAAAATTTTTTATAAATTTTTTTAAGAATATTTTAAAAATGATTTCTACAGAATTTATACAGTAGAACCTCATTTTAATAGATTTCTCATTAATAATAATACTAGAATAATGGATTTTTTCCCCAAGTCCTGCCAAATCAATGCAATTTTACCTCCTTTCAGTAGACCTAAACTCAGAATAATGGAATTTTTTCTAATTTTGTTCTAAGTTTGCAAACTTTGTTTTTTCAATGTTTGGTTTAATGTTTGGGTGTTTCCAGAAATTTGTAGAGATCAATGATGCACTTGTTACATCTGGGATATCTTATATACAATTGAAGAATTGTATAGAGTCATCAGGCTGATACAATTAAAGAGGAACAACCTAGTGAATGTTCTGATGCTGGTCCGAGTAAGTGCAGTGTTGAAATTTAGTGAGACCATGGAGTCTTTCCAAGTCATGAAGACCCCCCTGATGAGTTTCAGCATAAACAAATAGGTTGGACTGTATATGACATTGCTAATATCAAGTAGTAGTTGTATTCAATAGTCAGAAAATTGGCATCAAACCAAGGTGGATAAGTTTTTAACAAATTAAAGTCAAGTGAAATGCTAATGAGCATATATAATTTACCTCTTTTTGTGCTTACAGTATATACAGTTTTCATCAGCTTTGTCATATACACATACAGTATAATATACAATCTTGTAATATACATATTTTTATAGAATAGAAATCTCAAGAGAATGAATAATTTCAAGTACATGTATTTCTTATATGTAGAGGGTTAAATAACAGATATTTTCCTGGATGGGCTAGAAATCCATTGTTCATGAAATAACGGATTCTCAGAACAACAGATGATTTTCAGTGGATCTGTTAAAATGAGATTCTACTGTAGTAATAAAATATAAAAAATTTCTTTCGTATATAATATATTTAAGCAATTTTTTTCAAAAATATTAATTCTACAGGAATGTAAAAAACAAATCAATACCCTAAAAATTTTTAATGTTTATACAATTATAAATTAATTAAATCTATAAAAATATAGAGTTGTATCAGAAAATAGCAATTTTATAGTCAACTGAACAACTTTTCCTATTTATTGAAAATCTCTAAATTCTTTCTGAAGATTTTTATACTTTAATTTATATACTGTACACCCATCCCTCTTTTTGAGCAGTGGATACATCCCAAAGAATGCTTGATAGGATCCATAACTTCAATGGAACAAAAAAAATAAGCAATTTAAAAAAGAAACACAAGCTTTTTTATTTTAACATCATTTACCATTAATATTATTTGTACGTAAATATATTAAACACAATGTAGCATAGGAAATATGAAATCAACATACAGTATTCTCTGATATACACACAATACTGTACTGTGCTTAAAAAAAGATAAATGAACTCTTGATTTAGAAACATATAATTTTAAAACCAATCCTTTGACAAAAAGAATAACATCTTTAATGATAACATGATTTTAATAAAAAAGATAAAGTTGAAAATTTTCAAATAAACTTTTATCTGTGTAAAAAAAATTGATCACATGAAAAGAGGATTAGATTTCTTTTGTTAATTCAAAATTGCATAAAAATAGACATGTAAAAAGAGGGATAGGTGTATATAAAAATTGATTGCAAAGTATACTCTGTAAAAACTGTATATCCTATTCATTATCAAATGATTAATTATTATTGATTTGACAGCTACATTACACTATGTTGCATCAACTAATAAAATTGCAGTAGACTCAATTATCTGAGATTTCATTAACCAAGAAATGAATCAAGAAGGATGCAAAAAATGTCTATAGCTCTTTAGTTATTAGGTCATCACAAATCACTTTGAGACATCTATTTTGCATACTATTGGCCAGGAGAAGGGGAAGAGGAATGATACACTTTGTTAAAATGCCCAATTTATTACATAACTACACATTATATAGGCTGTTTTCTTTACATTCTTTTGAAAATTTACCTGCTCTAGTTACTGGGTACACAATTTAAAAATGGTATTATCCAGGATGGCAATTTTCCATTAATCCTGAATAAGAAAATGCATTGTAGGCTTGCAGATTGAATAAAACAATAAAATACATTCTGCATAGATATTAAATGTCCTTACAGTGTAATACAAAGCTATACCATATGTGTACAGCACATTTTTAAAAAGCACAATTAAAAACAATCCACTTTTATTAATATTTTAAATTACTCGATGTCATTGAATTAATATTTCATCAATTTAACTTAATAATATTTCGCATATTTAAACACAAAGACTTATATCAATACTAGGAAAACAGAAATATTGAAAACTAAAGACTTTTCATTAATTAAGTCTAACATATTTTTTTGTATAGCAACTGATTTTATAATTTTCTATAATAACTGCAATACAAAATTAGTAGTAATTGTGTTATTTTAATAATAATTAACTATTTTACATGTTCAATTCATGAAATTGATTGCTTGTCTTCTATAAAAACAATTACAGCTGTAAATCAAAAACACTCACCTCTAGACTAGTTGAAATTGCACCATTAACAGTTGGTCCCAAAACGTATCCAGGGTTAATCACCGATAATTCAAATTTCTTGTCATCTAAAAGTTTTTATTTAAAAAAAACCTATTTAAATGGCAGTTAAAATTAAACTATATACCAAAATAATTTCATAACTGTTTTACAATGTTCTAAAATTGATGCAATATTTCCTCTAATTTAAATGGAAACATTCCAATTTAATTCATGATTCAAAAGAAATAAATGATCTATCAAGATACTCCATAAAAAATCATTATTTTTGAATCACCAAAAATTTAAATTCACCCACACATACTAATAATAATAATAATAATAATAATAATAATAATAATGTATTACGACAGAGCCATAATCACAGATAAAACAATTTACCACAACAGACCAGACATCACACTCATTGACAAACACAATAAAATCACATACATTATAGACATAGCCATTCCAAACACTCACAATGTACAAAACACATGCACTGAAAAAATTAGCAAGTACACAGAACTCGCCCAGGAAATAAGGCATCTGTGGAGGATGGATAGGGTGCTTATTGTACCTGTTGTTCTCTCCTGTACAGGTGTGATACCACACACACTACACAAAAGCCTGGGAACATTACAATTGAGTAGAAATACATACATCACACTACAGAAGGCCACTATATTGAATACATGCCATATTGTTAGGAAATTCCTTAATACTGACACTGACACTGACACACACATTTAATTTTAGTTTTGTTTTGGTTGCTATGCCTTGACTCTGGTCCGGCATAGTACACAGCCACCGGTGTGTACCGAGTATAACCCACTAAACACAACAATAATAATAATAATAGCCACCTGAGACCTGCTCATAAATACAAGAAACTACAAAAAGCACATAATAAAAGACAACATTCACAAACAACACTTGTAGGAAATGCCATATCATATACAAGACTGTACAACATAACACATCACACTGGATTGTAAGCTTTTTAACACTGACTATATACATTGATGTAACAAAATAGCAAATATAATACATCAAAACCTTGCACTCAAACACCAACTTCTACACACTCAAGAACCATATCACAAGTATACATTTCAGACAGTCATAGAAAACACGCACAAAATATACTATGATTGTGCCTTAACCACAGACAAAACAATCCATCACAACAAACCAGATATCACATTGATAAACAAAACAGTCCATACACATCATTGATTACAGCTGTATTAAACATCCATAACAAATACATACACTGAAAAAAAATTAGTAAATATCCAAAACTTGCCCACAAAATAAAGCATCTGTGGAGAATGAATGAGGTATGTATTGTGCCAGTACAGTGATACCTTGGTTTTTGTTGATAATCCATTCGAAAACAATCAGCGAAATCCGAAACCAACAAAAACCAAGGCAATTACAGTATTTCCATATGAATCAATGTAAATCCAATTAATTCATTCTAGACAATTCAAAATACAATACCGAAAATACATTTTATAGTGAATAAATACAGCATTTAATAGTGAAAACAATAAGAAATTAATATAAAATGAATATAAAAGTTTAATGTAATGGCTTCCAAAACAGAATTGCTATCTAACTGTTTTTGATTGATCCAAATTAATAATAACTATTCGATATCTTCAAGTGTTTGCAATTTCTGTTTTGTTAGCACATTCATGCTTTTTGCTACATTAGCCTCCTTTATTGCCACAATGTAACTTATCATGGATGACGACTTCCCATACATGTGGCTGTTTTCAAAGGTTTCCTTCGAATTGATCATGTTCCTGGCCTTCTTTGAAGGGCTGCTGGCATTGGAAACTCTTTGTTTCCATGATGAAGCTGAAAGGAAAGGAATGGAATTGTTTGGCTAGATGCACGAGATAATGCTCACACAACGCCACACTAAACATGAAAACGTGGGTCGCCCTTTGTTTTCGCAAAATTAGCAGTGAGATCACGTAGGCATGCCGATGAAAACCAAGACAAATTTTCTGTGGAAAAAATCAACAAAAACCAAAAATGACAATAACCGAGGTATTACTGTAGTCTTTTCTTGCACAGGCATATCACATACCACAGACACTACAAAAAATCTTGAAACATTAGGGCTACAAACATTACAGCACAAACATCACATAGTCAGGAAACAGATACATACACAAACAAGACATGTTTTCTGTAGTTATGCCTTGGTCCAGAACAGCACTAGATATCAGTATGTATGCGATGTATGATGCACTCCATTGTAATAACAATAACCTCTAATTTGCAAAATTCAAGATTCAGATTTAAAAAATGCAAATAAAGCTTTAGACAGGAAACTCAAATTTGTAACCCTCTTACAGCTTATTTTAAGATATATTCCAAACTAATGTGTGTTAAAATGCATTAAATTATTTTGAAATAGAAAAGATAATTTTCAACTATTCAACTTATTGCAAGAGCAAGAAGGGAATTTAATCAATAGAGAGATAGTATCAGATATCATAAACAAAAACACTGAGTTCGGCGTTATATGCGTTTTATTATCGCTAGTACTTTCGACGAGCTTATTGTCGTCGTCCTCAGGCGATTTAGACAAAAAATAATCGAACACAAAATAGAACGCGTAATATAAATTGAAATTGTGCTAAAGCCGTTAAGAACACGTAGAAATTTAAACACAATTCGAAAGCCGAACGAGCAGATAGCTCCGTGAAGTGCGAGCTGGCGCATGCGCAGAGCTATGCTCTCGCTGCATGCATTCTAGAGACTACGAGTACTCGCTTAATCGCTTATACAACGTGACCCATACACTGGGCAGCTCAAGGGTAGGGGTGTTGCAAGTGTCCAAGGTGGTAGTGAGGAGAGATTCCCATATAAAAACAGTTTTTCGATCTTTGCAGCTCTTGAGCATAACCACTTGGGACCATAGCGGGTTGTAACCCTGCTCAAGTACCTTTTTTGCGAGCTCGGTGGTGTGTCTTCCCCTCATAACATCGTCTTGGTGCTCATCAAGGCGGCTGGAAAGCATTCTAGTGGTGGCCCCGATATATCTTGTATTTACTCCCATTGCCTGATTTTCCAACGGTACAGCATAGACCCCCGATTTCTCAAGAATGGAAAATTTGTCTCTATCATTGCAAATAAGTTTGCGTAGGCTTGGAAGTGGGGTTAAAGGTAGNTTGCAACACCCCTACCCTTGAGCTGCCCAGTGTATGGGTCACGTTGTATAAGCGATTAAGCGAGTACTCGTAGTCTCTAGAATGCATGCAGCGAGAGCATAGCTCTGCGCATGCGCCAGCTCGCACTTCACGGAGCTATCTGCTCGTTCGGCTTTCGAATTGTGTTTAAATTTCTACGTGTTCTTAACGGCTTTAGCACAATTTCAATTTATATTACGCGTTCTATTTTGTGTTCGATTATTTTTTGTCTAAATCGCCTGAGGACGACGACAATAAGCTCGTCGAAAGTACTAGCGATAATAAAACGCATATAACGCCGAACTCAGTGTTTTTGTTTTTGTTTATTAATTAATTTTGGCGTGTTAGTCAACATATTGTTTAATCAGATATCATCCTTTATAATAAAAAAAATTCAAAATTAATAGCAAACACAAAAAGAGTGTTTTGAAAAGAAAGTTATAAAAACTATTTTCATAATTTTCTTTGTTTTTGCTCTCATCTCATTTTTATTTTTTAAACAGCAACATAATTTCATTTCTCTGTTAATTTGAACAATGTAAAATACAGGTAACTCCTGTATAACACGGCACTTCTATAGCACGGATTCACTCTAGCATGGTTCGAGAATTGGGAACATACCGCGTATAACATGGTGATTTTATAGCACGGGTTCACTCTAAAACGGTTCGGGAATTGGGTAAAACCCTCATACAACAAAATGTAATAAAGGGTGCGTTCTTTTATACCTCCGCGTGAGCATTCTAATTGTTTTCGTGGCTACTTTGAATGCGCTTTCAACAATAATCCATTTAATGGTTAAATTATACAATTGGGACCCTTCTTTTGCCTCTAAAAGCTCATTTTAGAATTATAGATTCCTCCACACGATACTATCGATAGTGTGGGCGCTGCCATCTTTCTTTCACCGTGGTTCCTAAATGCCTACAAACAGCAGCGCACTTCCGTTGCAGAGCGACCGCTATTAACGAACGCACCCATAAACTTACCAGTTGATGATGCTCATGCTGAGATCATCATATAAACTGAATAATCCTCTGGTAAAATAAATAATAAATAAGTATTTTACCTATGAAGAAAATGAATAATAAATCCGATTTAAATAAAGATTCAACAACGTGTTTTTTAATTTTTGGAACCTAACCCCCCTTTTCGCACTAGTTCTTTGTTTTGTATAACACGGATTCGCATAACACGGCAATTTTTTGGACCGTAACTCTTGTGTTATATGGGGGTTACCTGTATACTTCTAATATTTAAATACAGTATTATCTATATCTATAAAGCATTATTTTTATATCACTTTTCAACTTTTTACCTAGTGACTACATTTGCAATTTGTCTTAGTATTTGGTTAGCTATACAAAAAAGCAATTGTTTTGTTATATTTTATGTCACTAATTTGTTTATAGGATAGCAAATGTCATAATTGAAAATTTACTGTACTATTATATCTATGAGAACATTATTTCCTTATTTGTTAATTGGAAATTGTGGTTCTTGGAGTGATGAAACTTTTATAAATTCTAGACACATTTATGATTTTTTAAAGATAATTGTAATGTAGCAAAGGACTAAAAGACACTAATTTGTAACTCATATTCTATTGAATTTGAGATTCTACTTTGAATTACAATAGTGAATTTTAACTTAGAAACAGGCAATCCTTGATATTTAGAAAATTCACTCTTTTGTACAGTGCATATTTTGATTCTCTTAAATCACATTACATATGCTATAGCCAGATATACATTATATTAATTTATTTCTAATTATTAAAATTTAATAAGAGATGATGATGGCTTAAAGCAAAAGTCACATTTTTGAAAATTTTCAACTAAAAGTAAAAATTGAGCTATTGTGTGAGTTGGTGTTCTCCACCAATTTTGATTTTGGTAACATCAAAATCCTTCGCAAAAAATTTTTTATTGTTTGTTTACTTTTTTGTATGATTTTAACATTTGAAATAATACTATACATAACACTAATTAATTTTTCATGAAAAAGAAGACTTTTCTCCTCAAATAAACAGCCAAGTTCTTTCTGTAATATGCTTATTGTCTAGTCTTGTATTCAATTTTACAAGCTCTATGATGGCTTTTCCACTAGACTTATTACACCATTAATTAGAAATAGGACTGTTTAAAATGTTACAGTTTTAATAGTGTACTTTGTTATGTATATTGTTTGCCTCTCATTGCTGTTACTACTTTATGTATCGTACCATCATATCTACTCAAATACCTGTAAATTAATAATTATCATCCATATTTTATCAATTGTCACCATTTCTGTGCTTCTCATAACCATTTACATCACGAAGAGTTGATAAGGGATTCAAAGTCCAAAATGCATACTCTAGGAAACAAAAATGTGATTTTCTAAAGCTTGTCCTGTTTCTAATTGATGGTGTAATAAATCTAGCGGAAAAGAAAAACCATCATAGAACTAGTAAAATTGAAGCCAAATTCTTTATTGAGTAACTTCTTAATTCCTTAATAATTAGCCTTAATTTGTCTAGAGATAGGTGGGTAAATGGCCATCTTGTGTTAAATTTAATAATTAGAAATAAATAAGTTTAATTTAGAATATTCTGAAAGAAAAGATCAGCCCAGAACAGGACTCAAACTCACAATTCCTGCTTACTATACAGATGCATTACCAATTACACTATCCCAGATTTCTGTCCAACTTTACTTCCACATCAATTAGTTAATGATCACTCATGATTCATGATGGAATAAAAGTGTAAGCAGGCTGAAAGCCATAGAGGGCTGTGGGCACTGTCATGTACAGTACAATCAACACTGAATGACCAGCATATCAGAATTAACTGGTCTAACTAGCAATGAATCTTTATGGTAAGCTGAAGTTTCAGGTTTGAATTCCACTCTGGACCAATATTTTCTTCCAGAATATTTTAAATTAAATTGAACACAAGATGACATGTTACCAACCTACCTCTAGCCAAATTCCTTAATAATTAGTTTTAAAGTAGCATGATAAAGAATCCAGCTATTTCTTTGAATAGCTGGATTCTCTGAAAGTCAAGAGCTGCCTTTATTAACTTAGTATATCTTATAAGACTTAACAATAAAAATTAAAATTTATATTAATTGAAAAATTAGTTTATCTTCTCTATGGGGACCATAATATTAATGTGTTATATCCTCTAAGCCAAATTTGATATGCTTTTGAATAACCAGAGAAACCTTATAAGTACGTCAAATTTGCCTTATACAGGATATAACACATCACTGTTTATATTAAAACTCAAATGTATCATAGTATCAGAATCATGAATTAATAAAAAATTTAAGAATATTGCTTAAAAATGTTATATGCATTTAAGAATGTAATGAACATTAATATAAATAATTTGAAAATTTTTTTTATGAAGACAATCCACTAAACAAAGCATTAATTATAAAAAAAACATANAAGTAATTAAACCACGTACAGGTGGCCCTCGACTTTCGCACAATTCGCTATTAAAAATTCAACTTTTTAAATATTTTTGTTGATAATGAAAAAATTTTGTTCCATGCAGAACACTCATACACTACAAAGTGCGGTAGCTCGCTCTATGTTCTTGGACACACATTACTTCCTACAATAGTGGACTTCTCAGAATCCTAATCACTAATGTGTTGTTCCAAGCAAGAGGTCAAAACAGTTTCAGTTTTGCATTAGTGCATGCACCAACATGTTGTGTGTGTACGTTTGTTTATAAATTTTTTAAATATATATTAATTACATGAAAAGATACTTTAATGAAAAAGGAAAAGCTACCTGGTAATTCTTTTACAAAATCCCAAGCCTCTCTCTCTGCCAAAGTTTTGCTTTTACTGTATGCATCAATTGTAGGAGAATCTGGATTACTCCAGTCTCCTTCAGTATACACTTTTCCATCTTCAGCAACTGTTTCTCCTAATAAATGATAAAAATTTATTACTCATCATTTTATTTTAGGATTCATTAATATTCAGTAAAAATTCATAATTAAGATCTAATATAATTTACTTTATAATAATCTATGGTTCATGTGTTACTCTCATACCATATACACAGTAGATTCTGCTTATTGCAAAATCAGATTATCAATCATTTAATATTATCAAAATTACTATGTTCCAAAATATACACTATAAAAGCTTTGATTACTGCAGTCTAAATTTAGTTGTATTTATTATGTTCAGGTAAACAGTAAAAAAGACAGCAGAAAAACTGAAAATTGCATGTAATCAGCTGATTATGTTCTTTTTTTAAGTTATCAGTTTTTAATCTAACTCAACCAATATGTACATTAATTATTTTAATAAATACATGGCCAAAGTACACTAGTTTAAATTACTGTATTTCTTGCTTCAACTATAAGCTAGCTGTTGTTAAAAGTAGTACTGCAAAAATAGCAAGCAAACCATATTGGATGATTTCAATTAGAGAGGTTGCAGCCGATGTTTTCAGCCCAAAACGTGAACGTCGATGTTGAGCGCCGCCATCTGGCAATTCTAGAAGGTTGATAATGTCATTCACTTCGCCTAGCATGGTGAGTAGAAGATCAGCTTAAACTTCATTTTTGTGTGTTTGGGGTTAAAATTATGACATATTTTATTAAAATAATGATTATTTAAGCATTTATGAATAATATTGTAAAGAAACAGTCGATTTTAATCCAGAAATTATTTAATTATTCAACATTTTTGCAAGTGATGTGAAGTGCATATAGAATTTACATATATTTGTGTTCATAATAGCCTATCATAATTCTGTAGGAGTAGGTTTGTTCTTTCACAGCATCTTCTACCATCAACAGCATAATACATTTGCAAATTTTCTAAAAATAATTTCCCAAGCTGCTTTCAGATAGCTTCCACTACTTCCCTCAACCAAAGTATGAGGTAGTCCTATCGTACGGTAGGAGACACAACACTAATTAAAAATAATTATTTAGTATTATTAAACATCCTATAAATAGTTTAAAATAGCTTAATTTGTTTATTTACCTTTACTAGTAACATTTGTCGTTGTTAAACGTTTCCGCCATTTTTCAACATTATCCCATGAATCAATGTATGATGTGAACATGTGGTGCAATGTGTTTTACTTGGAGTTCAAATGTCAAACGTGTACTTCTGCTTGCCGTACAAGTTTAGCATTTGAATTTCGGCTGCAACCTCTCTAATAACTAATAAATTTAGTTTTTGAGTTGTTTTAACATGCCCTTAATAATGCCAGAATCAATAAAGCAGAATTTCCAATAACTATAATCTTATTTAGTCAATCTCACTCACTGATAGCAATAACCAAATACAGTAAGACCCTGCTTAACATGGAAGATATGTTCCTAGATGACAAAGTGCTAAATGACACAGCATTAAACAAGGTCATTTTAACACACAGTAAATAGGGAAAGGGGAACACACAACCAAAAATAAACACTTTTACTTTAATCTTAAGTTATTTTTTATATTAATTTACATAATAATATATGTTAAATAACAATAAACATATGCACACAGAAATGTAAAGTTCATTTTTTGTGATGAAGGTCCTGGCTCTTCTGAAATTCATGTTTTTTGCGATAAAGTCACTTAGTTTCATTTGTCGTTCTTTTCTTTCCTTAAACAAATGTCGGTAGCAAGAGATCATATTCAAAATGTCTCATCTTGCTTTTGCACTCCTTTCAAAATCTGGATCATTTGCTACAATTTGATCAACAGTTTTGGTTATTGTTACCAAACTTTTACTAAGGAAACCTGTAGACAAATTCTTTGGGTTCTTCATTTTCAGAATCACTATTTTCCAGTTCTACATGAATTCCTTGTTCTGCCAGTTCTTGAAGGTCATCGTTGGTAAGGCTCTCACCAGAAACCTGCTGTAACTCCTCAATATCCTGCTCATCTACATCTCTTAGTCTTGCTGTATTGATTAGGTTGACAATTTGGTCAATCTAACAATACAGCGATAGGCTCTTCTCATTGATATTCCTTGGATACTCCCAGCCATACCTTCTTCCACACTCCATTCATGCATTTATCAGTTAATTCATGCCAAGTGAAGTTGATATTGCCTATGGAATCCATGATATTATATTTTTTCCAAAATTGCACCAAACAAACATAGATTTAGGGGAAGTGCAGTGCTATAATAAATTGCCATCTTTTGCTGATTGGTTCATGTCCAGGAATAATCTTATTATATATGAATCAATGAAATGCAGCGATAATTTGAATAAGTGTAAATTTTGAGCTTTTTTTTTTAGGCTTCAAGCAGACCACATTATATCAAATCAGCGTTAATTGAGGTAGTGTTAAATGAGGTCTTGCTGTATTCAATGACAACCATTTAGCTTCTTACAAATAAGATATTTAAGTTACAAAATGGATATAATAAAAATGAATGCAAAAACATTTCTAGAAATATTTAAGTTTTTCAAAACTGAAATCTATTACTTGTCATAATAATTGCATTCACATCAATTATGATTATTAAAATTAAATCATTATTAGTAATTATCAAAATACAGGGGTATCAAACAAACATGAGGACAAAGTTTGACAACACAGCCAGATTTGGTGACATGGCTAGCAGTGCTACAAACACAACTGGTTCATGTTGTCACAAGGTTTGACTTACCAAATTGCCAAACTTACTGAAAGTTCTACTTTAATTTGATCACAAAATATATTAAAAAGAGTGAAGTAAATAAACCACGTACAGGTGGCCCTCGACTTTCGCACAATTCGCTATTAAAAATTCAACTTTTTAAATATTTTTGTTGATAATGAAAAAATTTTGTTCCATGCAGAACACTCATACACTACAAAGTGCGGTAGCTCGCTCTATGTTCTTGGACACACATTACTTCCTACAATAGTGGACTTCTCAGAATCCTAATCACTAATGTGTTGTTCCAAGCAAGAGGTCAAAACAGTTTCAGTTTTGCATTAGTGCATGCACCAACATGTTGTGTGTTTTGCCAATTTATTTGTTTATGTTTAAATATTTCATCCTTATAAATTGATAATCATGAGTGAGAAACAGAGAAACTGCAGTGCAGAACAAAAAGAAATTAAGGACTCAAACTTCATATGATTGAGACAAAGATGGAAATAATTAAACGTTCTGAAAACGGTGAATCTTTTGCTTCAATTGGACGTTCATATGATGTAAACAGATCTACAATATGTGCAATTTTGAAAAATAAAAGTAAAATTAAGGAATAAATATTTCAGTTTTTGGTGCATGCTTTCTTACATCCCTCTACTTTCAAACATTCAACATTTGCACACTTTCAGGAACCAATTATGTGCGAAAGTCGAGGGCCGCCTGAAAAAAAATTCAGAATGAAAAAAATGTGATTTGAATGAGATCTGAGCCTTGGGATGTTTCCAAATGATTAAATCTCATTCATTATCCATCAAGGTAACTGCTTAATCTCATTAAAATATAAGATGGATGTCTTGGAGACAATTTAAAATCATATCAATATTCATTTAACTACTTGTCAATAATTGCACACACAAAAAATTTGATAACTTAACAACATTTTGGAATTTAGATTACATTTCATTAAAATTCAAGTAGCTGATGCATGTAATGACTGCTTACCATGTGCACTGGTTATTTTTCTTGGATGCTGAATTCTTTGGCATCCAATTCTACTCAATCCTTTTAAATAAATATTTGGATGTGATCCCGGGGTTAAAAGTAGAAATGGCCATATCACCACTTTCTAGTAGCAATAACTGAAAATCAGTGAGGCCATAGCTCCAATACATTTCATTGAAGTTCTTTATCTTTTTCTATTATTTCAATTAATTTGTAATTATTTTTTATAAAAATTGCTAAAAGAAGTAACTGTTTTCAACAAAAAACATAGTACTTTGAAAAATGACATTAAAATAAAATACTTATTGCTCTTAGAAACCAATTTTATATATTTTAAGACAATTGCAGTCTCAATTAACAGTCATCAATACAAATGTTAATAAATAATAATTGATTTCATATGCTATGAGATAAATATTAAATAAAAAATTTTATGATTTGTGAATTCAATGTAAGTATAAGTAAGTAAAATGCATATTTATCAAAAACTAATTAAGATGTAATTTAAAATGTAAAACAAACATTTAAAAAAAATCATCCAATTTACTTAAGGAAAAATGTTAATGATCAATAGCTTGTGTTTTTGTAATTCACAAATGCAAATACAATTAGATTAAATGACAATTTCCATTCATTTCTGTAATATTTTCTTAGCTTATTCAATTTCATTTCAGTTCATGCTCTTAAGATTGTATAAACAGTTCTACAATAACAATGAAATTGTTTTTTGCATATGTCTTGCTAATTCAGTACATATTTCTCAGAAATCAAAGCTTCTTAGTAACTAGTTTACAATTTAAACTTTTTCATTGAAATCATTGAGGAAAATTACTATGTACAAATACTATCTTATCGGATTAGTAAATTTTCAATTTTAACAAGATATTAAAATGAAAAGATTGTGTAAAGAAATTTTGATTGCTATTACATTCATTTTCTTATCAAATTAAGACAAGCTTGTAATAATCATGATCAAAATGTTTTTTGCATTTCAAGAGAACCAGTTTCTCCAATTTAAATTTAAATTTGCCGACTGGAATTCTTTTGGATAATTGACTTTCGGATAAATGACACTCTACTGTATAATTGAAATACAGTATATTATCATTTCAACTGTCAAAGTCACAGTTTAACTGTATTCTAAATAGCATACATATTGTATAGGATACTTTAAATGGATCATAAAAATTATGACAAAATATAAATGTTGATTAATTATTAATTCATCAAAAATGACCTGGGCAGAAGTAACGAAAAATAAAAATGAAACTGTTATTACAAACAAAAGGGTGGACGAAGGTCGGTTTAGGTGGTGAGAGTTTGAATGCAGAGTTACAAAGATTTGCTAGCCACTTCAAGGGGTAAAAAATATAGTCAGTATTCTTGCATTTATAATGTCATTTATGATCTAAGTGATTAATAAAAATCGATATAGTGATTTGTCTACTTTGTAGTTATTGAGTAGGTGTAATTTTACAACCTGCCCTCCACCCCTATTCCTATTTTAATCCAGTCTTTATTCCATGCCTATGGTCAAAATTCATCCTCTGAAAGAGTATTTGAACTGATTCTTTGTTTTAGTTATAGATATCCTATTTGTAACTAGTGGTGGTGTCTGCTATTTGCGAGTGTCCATTAATGGAGGTTTCACTGTATAATGTGATTATTTAGCTTCAATGTAAAAACAACTAAACTAATAAACTAAATTGGAAGACCATCCATTTTTGTTTGAATGATACAATCAAATCTTGGTCAATAACATACGTAGACATTTTACAAAAGATAAAAACATAATTTTTATAGTATTTTCTTGAAATATAGAAAGACTAACCTTTCACTTTTTACCTGCAATCTTTTTTACCTTCTTTGTATAAAATATAAATATTTCTAATTTCATTCTTATCAAGTTCTTTTATACAGCAATTTCACATATTATCTATCAATTTTTATATAAATTTATGTGAATAAATTGAATGATAGTATTACAGTTATTTATGCAATTTTCTTTTCCATTAAGACCTTTTTCCTAAAAATAAAAGAAATTTGTTTTGCAGCATAATACTGAATTACATCTTATAAGTTTTAATTTAGTGTTTTTAAATACTTTACACAATTTAAATATATAGAAAATCCTCGTTTCAGAATTTATTTTCTTTTACTTTAGTCTTATGAACACAGAGTGTCTCTCTGCATGCCATTAGAGATTGTCAAATTCAAAATGAGGCATCCAGATGATGATGAACAGAGACTGAATTATCTGGATCAGATTACCCAAAAACTTAAGCCCCAGGATGGTAGGCTGATATGTTTATCACTTTAAAATAGGAACAGCTATTTATGAATGTTTAATGTTAATTTATATTCAATGGAAACAGATCCAACACTTATTCTCATTGAATATTTTCTGCCTTTTTTTTTATTATCCCATTCTTTAAAATTAAAAAATATATATAACTCCCAAATATCTAATTAAATAATTCATTGTAAATTTACCCTTAATCTTTAAAAAATTAATAAATATAAACATAAATGAATAGCTTCAGACATCAAGTTTCACATTAAAGCCAAATTTCCTCTTTCTAGAAGACATTTCAGAAATATTTAAAATTTATAAGTAAAGAACACATACCATGAATAGCAGCAATGGAACTTGTTAAAACTACCCGCTTCACTGTCCCTGCATCAGCACATGCTTGAAGTACATTCTTTGTACCTTCAACTGCTGGTTTAACTACATCTTCTTCATTAGATGGAGGAGCATTTGGAAATGGTGAGGCAACATGAATAACATATGTGCAATCTTTTACAACACTAAAAATAAACAAATTTTTATGTTATATTAAAAAATTGATTGAAGATTATTAATAATCTTTTTAAATTAAAACTTTTTATCTATATTATTATATAGACTTGTTTATATTGAGTAATATTTCTGATTATTTCAGAGCATTTAACATATAATAATCATTATACAGTATATGTAAAAAACATTTCGTTTAACTTTGTAAATCTGATATTAATTTAAATAACAAAAATATTAGAAGCATCAAAACAGTATTTTTCCCATAATTAATACTTTGGGACAAATAATTTAATTAATTACAATAAAAAAAGTAGAAAAAAAATTAACATTGTTCTACAAAATACTTAAGCATTTTTGTATATACAGTGTCTCATGTAAAGTGTTACAAGCTAATAATTTGAAAAGTTGGCCAATGTCAGCTGTCTTTTTTCAATTTGTAGTTTCAAAATAAACTTCATAAAAATGACAAAATTATGTCACTCCCAGTCTCTGTCCTAAGGGACAACAGGTGGCAACTATAAAATGAAATCCTAGAGAAAAGTTTATATTTTTGAATTCTATGGAAAAAATGACAAAAAACTTTTGTATAAGCACATCTTTTTATAACATACCTCCATTAGAAGTTATGAACAATTGAAGCTTTGAATTGATTCAAATTGTTCAGTCTGTCCCTTCCAATCACACAACAAAGAGATACTACTAAATCTGAACAGAGATGATTTCAACAAGATGGAGGTACACCAATTTTCAAATATCAATATCTAACACCTGATAGTTATATATTAAAGCCAAACAATTACTAGATTATTGCCATAGTGGGAGTTATAGGCTGTGGGTGTTAAGTCATCTCCAGTTGGTGCCATAAGTAACTAAGTATAGTTATATCTAAATTAATAGTTCTGTAAGCAAAGGTCTGGGTAGCATAACTGGCAATGCAGGCATTGTGGGTTCAAGTCCCATTTTGAGCCGATTATTTTCTTCCATAACCTTCTAAATTAAATATTAAATTTAGTAAGAGATGTCATCTAAAGCTTACCTCTAGCACAAGATTAGTTAGCATTTATTAGGTTGTTTGGAAAGTAAGTTCGTTTTTTTACCACTAGATGGATTAGTCATATTTTTTCCGCCATTTTCATTCTAAACCACATTATCATTATATATTATAACAGTTAGCATTTTAAGGCTTATTTGTAAAAAATTTTGTTTGATTTCGTGCAATTGTTTATTTTTTGTGTCCCATCAAATATGGAAGATCAGAAGCAGCATTTTTGGCATATTTTGCTCTTTTATTACCGAAAAGGTAAGAATGCTGTTCAAGCGAGAAAAAAATTGTGAGATGTGTATGAAGATGATGTGTTGAGAGAAAGACAGTATCAAAACTGGTTTACAAAATTTCGTTCTGGCAATTTCAATATTGAAGATGCACCATGTTCTGGATGGCCAGTTGAAGCTAATGAAAACAAAATAAAGGTACTGATTGAAGCAAACTGCCGAACAACAGCACATGAAATCACTAAGATTAAATTTGTCAAATTGAACTGTTTATGATTACTTGAAACAAATTAGTTTCGTTTCAAAGCTTGATATATGGGTTCCATATGTTCTTAAAGAGAGATGCTCTCTTTGGTGGGATTTTAAAGAAATTTTTTTTTTTTTGGAGCTTTCACCAGACAATTTAACAACTGATTTTAAAGTGTACTGCCATCGAGTAAACAAATTGAGTAATATCATCAAACAGAAAACGCGGCCAGAAGTGATCAACAAAACAGGCATTTACTTGAAATGACAATGTCAAAAATCACTTGGATCAGTTTTTTGTAAGCAATGATCAAAACTTTTATGAATGTGAAATCATGCTACTACCAGAAACAATGACAACAGGTATTTGACCAAAATGGTTGATATATAATTCAATAATATATTTATTTATTATAAAAATATTGTGTTTTTTTTTCCACGGAAAAAAAACGAAATTACTTTCCGAACAACCCAATA